ATGAAAGTATTAATAAATATATTTTTACAAATATAAATTTTTGGTTATAATAATCTTGTTTGATCCCTGTTGAAATGAAAAAAACAAAACATTATGTTTATACAGTAGATTCGTGATACTCAGGAAGCCGAAAAATTAACTTCGATTCAATTAATTTCGATATGTAATGGAGAGTATACTATACCGTGAAATCAACATACGTATGTATGTACGTACGTTTGATCATGTAAATTCTATTTACAAAACCAATAAAATCAATTTGTTTTTCAATCAAATAACTGTAGATCCGAGATGTTATGTACATTCTACGTGTGAGTCAAAGAATATATGAATCTAACGTTTCAGATTTATCACGGTGTAAAAAGAAAAATATTTATGATTTACAGTGTGAATTCGTTAAAGTTGGGACAATCTGTAGATGATGATTCAGATCCCAACACTGGAATAAGTTTATGCTAATCTAAACCAGGTGGTGCTGGTTCTGAAACATCAGTTTCCATTGTTTCTGGTTTTTGTTCGATCGGATAATCACCGGGTGGAGCCTGCAAGAAATTTGAGGAAAGCTGTTTGGATCAGTTCATATATTTATTTAGTTTTTACGATAATATAAAGATCAATTCATTATATACAAGCATTTTTACTCACAATATCAAATTCATCATGCATGTCGCAAGGTGATTTACCCTGAATAACGTCCATTATCGATTGTGGAATGTGCGCTTTCTATAAAACAGTAATTCAGTTTATTTTATACATATATATGTATAATAAATAGAACAACATCCATGGTCAATATAAAATACTGAAAATATCAAAGTTACCTGATTCTCGGCAAAGGCTTCAACGTGTGCTAATAACGGTGCGCGCAAATTACTCGACATTTTCAACGCTTCTGCCAACTGTGTTGGAGGAAGCTGTAAAATGACAGCGAAACTTTGTGGTTGTGTTCGCTCACAGCACTTGACAAAACCTTCCCAAACCTTTGGCTGCTTCCAAACTTGTTTAAGAATTAATCGTTGAAGTATGTTCATAACGAACCCACTTAACCTTGGATACAGTGCTAAACTTTGTATCACCGTGCGCATTAGCAACGTAGGCAGTGGTGTCATCTCCATCAAATGTTGCATGACAACGGCCACTGTTTCTTGCGTATACACTTGCTTCTCTGCGAAGCAAAGCGAAGTAGCTGAAAAATGATATTATTAAACAAAAGTTTAACAAAAGTTAAACAAAACATTAAAAATCGTTGCACCCTTAACAACCAACATTGAGCATTATCATACCTTTTATAATGGTTTTTAATTCTGCTTTACTTGGATCTATATTATGTAGGGCTATTAACAATTCAGCAGGTGTAATAGGAGACGTATGAGGTACACCGCTGTCATTATTATGTGTTCCCAGTAATCTGTTAAACACCTGTGAAAGAGTCACCGAACCGATAATATTCAATCTTGAGTTAAATTTATACATGCAAGGTTAAGTATAGATGAAACAGTTACCTCTTTGACAACAATGGGATTTAATTTTATGAGTTTTGGGAGGGCAGCTATAACTTCTTTCTTTGTTAAACCGTTTAATACCGGTATCAAGAACCGAACATCCGAGACCCTAGTCTGATAAAGTTCTCGCACTCTTGCAACCAACTCTGCGCTCGGTGCAGCTAAATATAAAATAATATATTAAAATATCTAAAGATTGATAGCACACCTCATGATATTATAGAGTTATGTACACTTCTCTGTAAGAATATGGATAATTCTCGTAACCAGTGTCTCGGCTCCTTTCGGACAAGTCTCAACTAAAGCCAGTAATTGTGGACTGCCCATTCCTAGAGATCTCACTGGTCCTTCCACTAATCGCAGAACCATGCGCTTTACATCTGCGCTCATCGATGTATAAACTCTTGCCAATCTAACAGAATTCAAAGAATTATTAGTAAAAATTCACAATTACTTTTAATGTATTGTTGCAACTCACTCATGGATCAAATCTTGATGTTCGCTTAGCAACGCAAGATACAATCCAAGACACGCTCTTGTTGTCGATTCTGTCCACTGTGTTTCTATTTGTGGTCTACCTCGGTCTTGTCCAAACACTATTTCTGGTGGTGCATGAAGTCGCAAAAAGCCTAAATAAAGGACTGCATACTCTTCTATAAGTTTACTTAACTCAGAACGACTATATAGCTCGCAAACTAATTGTATTGCTGCTTCCCTTATCTATATATAAGTGTAAACAGAAAATTAAAAGTTTGAGATTGTTTTAAATAGCACACCATAGAGATTGCTTACCGTGTTGTTCTCGTGTCCAGTATGACACAATAAGACGTTTAAGAAAACTAATTGCTTCGTAGGTCTCCGAATAACCATTTCCTTCAATAACTGCAATGGTGCCAGCCCTCTGGTCTCCTCGGAAGACACCATTTTTAAAGCCTCCACGGCGTCTTCCGTAATTAGGGGAGCTTCCAGATATAACCTACTCAATCAATTGTTTGCATTTTATAATATCTAGTGACAAATGTTAGGTATTCTATTTGAATTTTTATTGTTACCTATTCAATAATGTATCCCGATCTTTCCCTTGAACTAGATCGATCGCCGACACTAAAGTGCACAACAGAAAATTGTACGCCTGATGCGGCGCTTCTTGAGGCTTCGTGCATAGCGTGGTTCTTCTTTGGAAACCTTGAAGTAACGCATATTCTTCGTACAACCAACCTAAAGCTAAATCCAAACGATTTCTCATGTCGTCGGTGATGTATCGTAATACAGCCTCCTTAATATAGGGATTAAATGTTGCGGCTAAAGTCGTTAATATCTTGGACCTAATATGAAATAATAAATTAATACAAATTAAACTTCAGTTCCATAAAATAATATTTTATCAAATTAATCTACCGTATGGCTGCAACGCCGCCAAATACGGCTGTCTTCTCGGACGAGAGGATTCTATTAACCGCCATTAATAACATTTTCTCTTTCACTTCTTTTGACAATGGCTTCGTAACTTCGGATAACTTCAAAGCTTTTAGACGATTTCTCGCTTTTGCTAGCGACTTTTCATGAGCTTCTAAAGAAGCTTTCGCCTCCTTTTCTTTCTCCCTGTCCTTTTCACGCTTTCTTTCACGTTTCGCCTCTGCCACGCTAATTGTGGGATTCTTTATCAGATCCTCCATGACAGCATCTTCGTCCTTAGCTTCTTTCTTTCTCTTCGCTTTAGCTTGCTTAATTTGCACGGCCAACAATTTAGCAATCGTTTGCCGCTGAACGTTGATGTCGGTCGTTGATGTAGGCTGATATTCTCTTTGAAAGATCGTTGTCATTGAATCTGGTACCCAGGCCTGCAATTAAGATATATTTAAGAGAAGAGATTTTAAATTAATGATCGTTGTTAGAGAATCGTTATTTACCATGCTATCCATTACTAAATCTGTAGCAATCTCCACACTTAATCTTTCAGAAATGAAATTCTCCGAAAGTTCCAATAATTCTGGTAATTTCGGAGGAGGTACTGGGGTGGGTACAACTTCTGGTTCATCCGGTATTAAGGGAGCTTCAACTTTAAGGCGTTTCGCAGCAGAAGCAGTAGCCGCTTCCTAAAAATTACATGCATTATTAAACAATAAATTCTCGTCGCTGCTTCTAATTCGTGTTAATAACGAATTTACTTGTTGTCGCTTTTTCATGCGTCGGATATCCTCCGGTTTTGGATAAGACTTGATTATTTCTTGTTCTTTCGCTCCCAGTTGTGTCAATTGTTTAGCTATAGTAGACGCAAATTCTATACTAGCGGGGTGTTTCATTAGACCTAATAAAGTTAATTTTAATTGCTTCTGTACACTAGTTACTTGAGAGTCAGACAATGTTGGAGGTAAATCGTTTTGCAGCCTTTGCAGAGCTGTAAATTGGAATTTATTAGTTACAAAGTCTGTGCAAGCGTTTATTACTTTTAGGCCATACATACCTTGTATTACTCCTGGCATAAATTGGGGCCTTGTTTTAGCAATAAATGCTAGGGAGCCCATGCATGTCATTAAATTAACGCTGCTAACATGAGGTGATCCATGAAATTTAATTAATAAATCCATTACGTCATTAGCCTCTTCTTCTAGCTTTCGTCTACGGGCTATTTTTAAAGTTAATGGAATATCTTCTAAGGAAAAGTCATCTGGCTTCTTAGCTGAGTCTGGATCTGGGTATGTTTGTATTAAAACAACACCTTCGAGAAACTTCACAGCTTGCGTCCTAATACTGAAACATAAAACCAATTAATAATCAAAAGTAATCAAGTGGATCCGGAGAATAATAAAATAATTATTTTACCCATCATTGTCACTATCTATCATATTTATAATTTGTATTTTAAGAGCACTGAGTTGACCCCAAGCTACTTCCATTTCTGGAGTAACTGTAGTGGCAACGGATATCCATTTCAATGCAGATCTTAGTATCCTGCCACTGGCTCTTAAAGCTCTTTTAGCTACAGCTGATGAATCATCAGCAACTAGTCTTAAAAGTATTTGAACTACACGTGGAATTATTTCTGGTTGTTTTACTCTGCAAATTAAATGTAACCAATAAATCTTAAATGATCAAACCAATGATTATAATGCAATATATAATGCAATATTTAACGAAAGTTACCCTGCTTCTTCTATAAAACCTGTGACTGTTTTCCTAACTTCAGTATGTCTATCTAAGGAAAATTGCAGGGCTTCGTCCAAGTATAATGGAAGTAACTGCGGTTCCTTGTTTACTAAGATTTCTTGGACTTTACATATATTTGAGACTTTGACGTCCTCTGCTGGACTCAAAGAAGCCTCGTTTAGCCATTCAACTATCTGAAAAATTTCATGCAAAATAAAATACCTAGTTTCTTTCGATTTCAGTAATAATAGCAACTTATATGCAGCTTATTGAATAAAGAAATATAAAAATTCTTAATGATAAGTGAATTGAACGTATAAATGTTAATCGTTAGAAAGTCATGAATTATATGCAAAACGATCTGTTTGTATTTAAATGAAAACATCTCTTGGAGGTTATGACACTGACCAAATCACCGGGTCCTTTTTCAGACTCTGATCGTCTATGTATTCGAGGATCCATATTATATCTCTAAATAAACAAATTAAAATGAAACGTGTACAAAAATGATCGAAAAAGAAGCTGTCAGACGAATCGTATGCCGCAACTCCGGGTACGCTATACGATTACTCGTACCGCTAGTTTAAGCCTATTTCAGAGTTAAAGAATATTTCATTTAATAAAGCTAAAACTCTGCGTTTTTTACACGAGAATTATTTCGATATCGTATACAGAATTCTAAGTCAACAAATTATAAAAGTTCTCTCGACATCGGACGAAATAGCTTCAGTTGCCATCTTGGCATTTTTACCATTTACTATAGACGCCACAGATGTACATACACATATGCAATTATAGTTGTGTAGCCGTAGCCAAGCGCTATGATCGTTTTGCATCAAAGAAGCGGGAAATTGAATTCCGTCAGTTCGACTTTCAGATCGTGAAACAAAACAATGTTCGCCAATAGCAACTAACGTCTGTTTCGTGACACTGAAGGTTGAGAACATATCATGGATCATGACTTTGTTTTCAGTCTGTAAACACATACACTTGTCGAAGACGCCTAAGGTGTGCTACATACCTATATGTAGTACATATGTACTGCGTAATGTGGTGTCTCGACTCTCGAGGAACACAATATCATTGTTTGTTGCGCAGCTACTTCTACATATTTTTTGAAACTTGTTATCGTTATTTTTGGCATAAAAGCTGCAGCAACTTTAAAAGTTATCGATATTTCGCTATGCTACGTGTCAAAGGTCGAGTCGAGACTTGATCGCCTACACGTAATCTAAAAGATAACAGAGGAACGTTGTATAAATGAAACGAAAGTACTGAGTATACATGTGTCGGTATCTCCATTAGTTCATTAATCAGGTCAGGACTTCGTCGCCTGTTGTTGCCCGCACGGAAGGAATGTGATGTGATTTTAGTGTTCGGAATCAAAAACTGCTATGATTTCGAGTTTCTACGAGAAAATTGTTGGCATGTCTTCTACTGCAGAGTCAAACCAACAAAAAGTTCTCTGTGTTGGATTGACTTGTTTAGACATCGTCCAAACATGCACGCAGTATCCCGAGGAGGATTCTGATCAAAGGTAAGTTTTTCTTCCGTTTGCGATTGCGCAATGTCATCTTTCATCTTTCATTTCCGTTAATCAGCTGATATTTGAAGATGACATTTGAACGCTGCTCCACTTTCGGATAGTTTGAATGAACCAATAGAATGTAATTAAAAATCGAGCACTGCTTCGAACGTATTATAAGTTCATAATCAACTAATATTCGTACTGATAAACTTGACTACTGAATATGAAACCTATACCTTTTCTCCTGCCCACTTTTCTATGTTGGAGTTAAAAAAATAATATTAAACAATCAATGATAACATCAAACAAGTTTCAGAAGTATATTACTATGATTCATAATGTATCCAAAAGTAATAATATTCTAGAATATAATAATATTAGAGAACTTCTTAAAGTTTTAACTAATTTTATCATGTTTCAGATCTGTAGACTACAGATGGCAAAGGGGAGGCAATGCGTCCAATACCTGCACAGTTCTCTCCCTCTTGGGAACCTCATGCGAATTCTTTGGTACCTTGAGTTTGGATGAACACATAAATTTTCTGCAAAATGACATGAAAAAGTACAATATTGACTTTTCTCACTGCCCCATGGTGCAAGGAATAGGATGTCCTACATCCACTGTTATTCTAAGTCAAAGCACTGGTTCACGTACAATTTTACATCATAATCCCTCAATGCCTGAATTGATATTGAAAAATTTCGAGCAATTGCGTCTGCAGGACTACAGTTGGATTCATTTCGAAGGCAGAAATCTAAATGAAGTATTGTCCATGATGCAGTGTGTAGAAAATTATAATAATATGTTGAGTTACAGTCAAGATTCCGTAGATAAAGAAGGGGTTTGGAGTCAAATGCCGATCACAGTTAGTGTGGAGTTAGAAAATCCAAAACCAGAATTATTAGATTTACTAGCATACGTTGATGTGGCATTTATATCTAAGGATTTTGCTCAAAGTAGGGGGCACGATAATATGAGTGACACTCTGAAATATGTTACCAATGACGCCAAGTCTGGGTATGTGTTTCAAGATTTACTTATAAATTATATATTTTCTACTGTGTAGGAATAGTTTAGTGACTCTATGTTTCTTAGAGCAACTTTAATCTGTGCCTGGGGAGATCGAGGTGCTATGGCAAAGACTCCAGACAACATTATAGTACAATCGCCTGCCTTTTCACCGCACAAAATTGTGGACACCTTAGGTGCTGGTGATACCTTCAATGCAGCAGTGCTGCACTATTTAAATAAAGCTAAGCTAGATTACATGAAAAAGAGAATGTCCGAGTCCATTGAATCGAACGACGAGGACTATAAGCGAAATATTAAAAAGAATTATAACATAGAAAGCATAGAATGGAGCCATACTGAATTTATTACGCAAAGCGTTTTACATGCGGCTGTGACTTTTGGTTGCCGAGTGGCCGGCGCTAAAGTTGGTTTCAAAGGCTACAGCAAACTAGACGAAATGTTCAAAAACGCGTTGAACAGCTAGCCAAACTGATAGACCCAAGCAATACTGTAAATATTTTAAGACTACGTTTTGTACCTATTTTTACGGTATTTTATATAAGCCTTAACTGTTTTCTAATGTTTATAGACTCTATTTAAAAATAAGTGTCGATAATCCTTCATGTTTATCTTAAAATTTGCTATGTGTCTTGATCAGATTCAGATAAAATAAATTCTATTGATGTTGTTACTCGTGTCTGCACGTTTACCGATTGTTCCGAGGATGTAAATCACAACCAAAAGACGGTTACCAGGCAACATTCATTTAATATGAATCATTCAAAAAAGAAAAGAGAACATTCAAGTAAATACAAGCTTCTTTCTTGCACATCAAGAAATATTTTTTCAGGTTTACACATATTATGCACAACTCCTTGCGGAGCACCAACAACGAGAGAAAAAAGAAAGTTAGACCGTGTTCGAAGATAGTGATGGACAGTGAACGGAATATTCCAAGGAGTTCCATTCCCTAATCAAAAACTTATCTGCAAGTTTATAAACAGAATTGTACACACGATGATACCAAAAAAACCGATCAGATATATAAACGAGACTGTTTCTTTTTTTTTGTTTATAGTTGACAAGCTGTTCCTTTTTTTTTGTTTATAGTTGACAAGCTGTTACGTGAGTCATTGACAAGACTTCTTTTTTTATTTTGTTAACCGCGTGGATAGATCTCGGGGACATTCGTTAGCTGTCCGGATCGACGCCCGAGTTGAAGAAGTCCACCACGCCGACTAGGCCCTTTTCAGGAAAAGTTCTGGGAAGAAGCAAACCGTGTCAACTTATCGAATACGATCAGGAATCGCCGACGGAATATACCTTACCTTAAGAAACAGTTAACATACAGCCAGTACGCGGGAATGGATATTTCTCGGATGTTCCGCCTCTGCGCCGCAACTATTTTTTCAACTGCCTGTTTCGCTGAAACCAGTGGCATGAAGCTGGTGAACCTGAATAAAAAGTATACCATGTATTGGTTACTTCACCGTACATCATTTCACGCATATTTTATTCGGATTAGAGCTCGTACCAAAACTCGATGCTCTTACACAATGCACCTAAAAGCGGTTTTCAAACCGACAGTTACAATGAATAACATGCAAGTAGTAAACTCCTAAGCCGAATAGCGTACAAGCCGCTCGATTCCCAACAGAATTAATTACGATCCTCATTTCATTGTACTTTTTATCGTAATCATGTCGTTGTTTTTTAAAAATCACGTTATCAATAATATTCCACTCGTTGAACCTGTTTTGTACATGTTTTTAATTTCAGAGAACTTCACGGACGGTGATTCTTTGACACAAGTTATTCTTGGGAATAGAGCGGCTCGCATGCTCGCCACATTTAGTTTGATTTATTCGTTTTAGAATGTGTGCCCACCTCTGGTCCAATAATCGAGCCTGCATGCGAACACACGTTATCTGATTAACAACTCCGACCGATCGTTTTCACACTAGGTACAGTTACATGAAATCGGAGGAACTCTGTAAGTTCTCGTCGCGTAACTGTACTTAAGTATCTAATACCAATGAATTAGAACTGGTTCAGCGAGGTAAACCGGAACGGACTAGCCTACCTGAATCTTGGCTTCTTGCAGAGGCCAGTGTCCACCATGTACGGATAGATGGTGGTGAATTGCAAATTTGAAGGATTGTCCTTGGACGACGATCGAAGCTCCTCATTCAGACTCTCCATCAATCCTGCATTTACCAGAAGAACCATGATAGAACAACGAAAGATAAAGCCAGCGCAAGAGAAAAAAATTCTCACCTCTCACAGCGAATTTCGAGGCACAGTATGGCACCAGGTTCGCGAGACCGACGACGCCGGCCATTGACGACAGGGCAACGATGTGCCCGTGGTTCTTCTTGATCATACTAGGCAAGAAAGCTTGCAGAGTCTGCGGACAAGATGCAAGAAATGTAGGAAAATCCGATGACAGAGATGTTGAAGAGCAACATGCTTACCCAAAAGTGTCCTAACACGTTGATATCGAATATTCGCTTGATCTCTTCCGATGAGTGACCCATAAAGGTATGGCAAGGCATGATGCCGGCATTATTAACAAGGATCGTCACATCACCGACTTCTTCCTTGACTTTCTGTGCCACCTTCAACACTTCGTCTCTGTTCGATATGTCGCATCTATCACAAAAGATTAATATCAATTCCAAGATAAAGTTGAGCGCAAACACGACCAGTCTTGTTAAACTAGTTCTTATAAGTTTGCATATGTTGATTTCCAGTTCTGGAAGTTATCAATTATGGAAATACAAACTTGTAGCCGTAGGCTTTAGACCCGCCTAATTGCTTGATTTCCTCCACTACCTCGTCGTTTCCTTGTTGGTTCAGGTCCCAGCAGACAACTGTTGCACCCAGTGATGCATATTTCAATGCTAATTCCTTGCCAATTCCGTGACCTGCACCAGTAACCTACGCAGAAAGTAAAACGGAGAGTTTCATTACCATACTCTCAATCCTGCCTGTTTCAAATTCAATTACGTACAGGCGTCCTTAGGTAAGCAAATATTTAATAAAAATCATTGAGAAAATATTACAACGTGGCTCTCGATCGAACGAGACGCCATTTTCAAATGTACGGGCTGATTTTACATCATTTAAGCGGAACAATCCTTTAAAACGATTTCCGGAAGTTCTAGGGATGCGCAAGTTCATCGAACAAATGATTTCCATTTGCTACTGGAAAGTTAATCGCTAAATACCAGGACGATCTCTCCAGCCACACTCTTCTCTTCGACAGGGACGAACAACCTGTAGATCCCTTCCCCGGTGTAGTAGAGAATCTTCAGGAGCGTCAGCAGGATCTCCACGAAGAGCAGCGCGCCTCCGGACACTTTCACCATGATCTCACGGAAGATTTCCCTAAAAAATTCGAAAAATCCCAAATTCGCTAATAAGAGAATCACTAGCCTCCTGATTGACCAGCAGGATAGCTCTTATCAAAGTAAAGTACAAACTTCCTGACTCGCGGCTATCAAACCGGTTATCTTTACAATCTTCCGGCGTATCGGAATTCGGTACCGGCAAGTATGGGGCACCAACGAATGAATCGACCGAACGCGATTATGTAAAAAGCCTTCAATTTCACCGGTTGCGAAACAGGGATCGACTTGTGGAAGCACCAGAAATCGGATGTCGCCTTTTAATTACGCATATCTATGTTTTTGTGCGTTTCTTGGGATTCGAAATCTGCAACCGAAGACACGCGATAAGTCGAAGATTTGCGGTGTTTTGAAAGAAACCGAGTCGTTCGGATGGAACTGACCAGATCGAGAAGTAAAATTCGATTTTATATTTTCAAGTCTTCGTACTCCTCTAGCCATAATTGAATAACGCAGTTAATTCCGGTTGGTACTTGACGCGATCTTAAGAAAGAAGAGTGATCAACATTCCGATTGTGAAATGAGATGTTGATAACGTCGGTTATCAACTAGCTTTGTTTACAGCTTTTTCTTACGAGAAGTGCTTCTTATGTAACAGGAGATAACGAAAACTACGAAATTCAGATAAGTATCGAGGGCTAATAATATTTCGATCTTATATTGATAGTGATTGGGTACTAGCGGACTTTGGACCAGAAATCTCGAGATTCCTGGATTTAGTGTTTGATAAAGAAGTCGAAAATAAACGTTCTAATATTTGCGGAGCTTTGTAACATCCGGTGTGGACTGGCTGTGCCGAAGACGAGACACGTGATAACAGTGATCCGATTCATTCGATCAGTTAAGGATAAAAATATATGCGAATCAGCCTTGTGAAATTTATAATACCGAACTGGTATTAATAAATTGTTTACTTCCATCCGCGTAATAAACTCTGACAATTACGAGCGGATTGACTTAAAATAAACGTCCAAGCGGGGTTACAGAAAAATCGTTTTCGTGTAAACCGAACACCACAGAGATCGTCGCCGAAGAAAGCGGTGACTTCATGTACACATGAACGAGCATAATTACAAACATTTGCAGCGAATTTATCCGATGCGTGAAATGCAATCAAGTTAAATGAGTTTCAAGGCGATGCCCGTTAAACGGCCGCGACACGAGGAATAGAAGCAGAAAACGCAAACACTCGTGCAAGAACCGACACTGAAACGGCACGATAGAAGAACCGATTAGAATTGATCGACGAAGACTCCGGGCGGACGATAATTAGTCCGGAACACCAGACGCGTGTATTCTCATGTACGTAAATAGCCACGCCGCGCTCTTCGGCCAGGAATTATGTTTCTTCCAGCGCGAGGTCGAGAACGCAAATGTTTCAAACACCACGGATTAACGTTTTTCCCTGGCGAAGGTAAACACTTCGACCCTCTCGGAGCATGAACACAATACTCGAAGAAGCCTCACCGAGTCGGCGTGGATCGCTCGGGTGAAAAATCGGAGGAATCTGGCGAACCGGTTCCCTTCGTCTTCGAATCGCGACTGAACCGACTGCTTATAATGCCCCTTGGTCACTACGGAGGTGAATCTTCTTGCTGGCTGCTCGACTATAGGAGGATCGAGAATATTGGCGAGAATAGCAGCTGCGTAGGTGGTTGCACCCTCCTATCGCGTGTCGATTTCGCTGGGAAATCGCTGTTAAAGCGGGGTTGCAGGCGATCAACCGAGAACCAGGTACAATATGTACACCTTGTCGGTGGCGGTGCACTGGTTGAAGATACTGAACCAGGACCGGCCCTCGCATCAAAGGCCGCGAACCCCTGTCTCAAACTGGTTGGGGAATCGCCACTATGGCAAGCACCGTTTAAGGTAAACGTTTACAAGATCGAACAACTATGCAACTTATGGACACCTCGCAATGGAACACCAGTTTGCATATTGCAAAGAAACTTGTATATCAACGTGAACTTTGAAAAATTTTTTCCATTACGAGTAAATTAGAAATATTATATATTTATGTTCACTCTCTCTCTCTCTCTCTCTTGTCTTATTCACTTGTCCACTGTAAAGTGGACAAAAAAAGTAATTAATTACGAGTGAATTAGAAATATTATATATTTATGTCCACTTCACAGTGGACAAGTGAATAAGACAAGAGAGAGAGTGAACATAAATATATAATATTTCTAATTTACTCGTAATTAATTACTGGACAAGTGAATAAGACAAGAGAGAGAGAGTGAACATAAATTTTTAATATTTCTAATTTANTATGTTCACTCTCTCTCTCTTGTCTTATTCACTTGTCCAGTAATTAATTACGAGTAAATTAGAAATATTATATATTTATGTTCACTCTCTCTCTCTTGTCTTATTCACTTGTCCAGTAATTAATTACGAGTAAATTAGAAATATTATATATTTATGTTCACTCTCTCTCTCTTGTCTTATTCACTTGTCCAGTAATTAATTACGAGTAAATTAGAAATATTATATATTTATGTTCACTCTCTCTCTCTCTCTCTCTTGTCTTATTCACTTGTCCACTGTAAAGTGGACAAAAAAAGTAATTAATTACGAGTGAATTAGAAATATTATATATTTATGTCCACTTCACAGTGGACAAGTGAATAAGACAAGAGAGAGAGTGAACATAAATATATAATATTTCTAATTTACTCGTAATTAATTACTGGACAAGTGAATAAGACAAGAGAGAGAGAGTGAACATAAATTTTTAATATTTCTAATTTACTCGTAATTAATTACTGGACAAGTGAATAAGACAAGAGAGAGAGAGTGAACATAAATATATAATATTTCTAATTTACTCGTAATTAATTACTGGACAAGTGAATAAGACAAGAGAGAGAGAGTGAACATAAATTTTTAATATTTCTAATTTACTCGTAGAGAGGGAGTGAACATAAATATATAATATTTCTAATTTACTCGTAATAAATATATAATATTTCTAATTTACTCGTAATTAATTACTGGACAAGTGAATAAGACAAGAGAGAGAGAGGGAGTGAACATAAATATATAATATTTCTAATTTACTCGTAATTAATTACTTTTTTTTTCGTTTTACTCGTAATTAATTAAAAATTTGTCTAATTTACTCGTTGTCCACTGTAAAGTGGACAAGAGTATGTAATGTAGAGTAAAGACGAAAGATAAGATTTTTTCAGGAAAATAGGAGATGAGAATTGGCCGTTAACTTTCGGCTGGCGGACGCCGGGTCTTGCGAGACCCATGCATTACTTTGTTTATGTCGTGAACGGCACGCGAGCAGGTCTGCCAGATAGAAGCGGCCGCGAAGCCGTGTGACGTGACATCGCGCGGAAATTCTTATATGTTTTATACTCTAATTGGCAGTAAAACACGATATAGCTTCTGACTAGAGTCCAATTCCGAGGAAGTCATCCTGTTTTAAAAACCATTCAAATGCTAATAAGAATTGCGTGAGCATGCAAGATAAGTATATAATTTGTTCTTTTATTTCTCCTTCGCATCAACAAAACGGAAGATCAACAGGAAGCATAAATTGCATGATGGCAATGCATACGAATGACCGGACAAGTGATCCTGGACCACCGGAGATTCACGATCTATTAATATCGTAAAATATGTGCATAAAATAAGATACATACACGTACACATAAAATAAGATACATGCAGGTACACATAAAATAAGATAAAATATAATAAAATAGATTCACAATCTGCTATAAAAATCAGTACTAGTAATCGTTTAATCAACTGCCCAATCAACCGTCTAATCAACTGTCTAAATCAACCTAGTAACCATTTCGCTGCGCGTTATCAGCAAGGATTTGCTTATCGTGAGGAAGGTGTCGAAAATGTTCCAAATAAGGCGAGCTTCTCAAATTGAACGTTGCTCCAAAAAACTTTTCGGAAAAAAGAGTACTACGTGAACCGTTGTTATATATCGCACCCGAAGGTCAAACTGGCTGCTGTCTCCAACCTTGATACGTATGTTTTTCTTGCAGCGACGTATGGAGTGTGGAAAGGAGCCGAATGTTATTCAACGGACGCGGAGCAAGCGGAGATGACCCCGAGATCGGATAAGGTGGCCCCAAAAAAGCACGATAACGTTGGAGCGGAGAAAAAAAAAAAGACGAGAGAGCCTTTCTATTGAAAAATATCACCGTGGATGCGCGGTCTTCACTTTCGCTGTCCTGGTAACAGCATCTCACGCGCGAAACTGCGTACAGTTCTTCCTCGTACATGCGACCGAACCGCTCGCAATGCTATACCGGCTTTTATATATCGCTTACACAATCACTTTCGTTTTGCGATGCATGCTGCGTGCTGACGTTTACCCGTTAAACGGGCCCGCGGCCGGTTTTCTTCCGAATATCGATCATCCGAGGATCTGCTCTCCCGCCGATTTATGGCTTCGCGAATCGAACGATTCGCGAAATTCCGCTAGTCCTGCGCGACACGAAAATTTCGCGGATTTCGCTAAGTCGGTGTAGGTAAATGTCGCAAAATTGTCCGACTTACCAATTGTTTTGTCCGTCCATCGTATGTAGCGGTTTCGTCGCGATAGCTTGGTTACTCTATCAGCTGCGAAATGTGACGGCGTGTCGGATGTGCCGGCAAAACGGTCGCGACTAAGCTATCGGCCAGCCGCTGGTGATAATGTATAAATGCTTGCAGAGGGAGAGTGACGATGATAAAAATGACGTGTAATCGGCCCGAGCGAAAATGCCATTGGATAAAAAGAAAATGATATCGATATCTAATTCGACGATTAGATACTCCTTCTCTTCTCGTTTGCGGTTACAGCCGTTTTTGCCACGATTCTCCGCGATGAAAATTGAATTTGACGCGCGAAACTGATCCGACTATACTCGGCCCATGGGTCAATGCACCAATTCATCGATCCCACATACGGGGCACGATACGTCCATCGACAGGTAAAATTTTAATCTGCCGTGCTTCGATGATGGCTACGAAGCCGCAGCGTGATCCACTATGAGGAGAACCGCTGTAGCGTATTTGAAAAAGCACGTACGTACACGCACGTCTTTCGAAGCACGCGCACTAGGTGTTTATGGCGTTCGCCAGCGTTCTCCGCTACAGATTCTTCGAATGTGTTGTACGACCGATTAGAATCTCTGTCAGCTGATTGTTCCGAACTGTGTGAGAACATGGATCCTTCGTGATCCCTGGGGATCAAGGTTAATTGCAATCCTGTTAGTCGCGCGGAACTATTTGGACCGCGGCAGTGGGTCAGGCAGTAAACCCAGTCTATTAAGGAACAGTGTGTACTGCATCAGTTCTCTTGATGTACAGAAAATTGTTATTAGCCGCGTATGGGCCACTGCGTGATGCGACTGTTAGCGTTGACCGTGAACAGAAACTGAAATGAATGAGCGAAAATCGACGTCCGTAGAACTTCCGTGTCGGACGAACTTTTTCCATGTCCCCCAAGCTTTTCTCGATGCATTCTTCATCGTTCTATCCCCAGTATAGGAAGGTTCGTGAACCCTATATCGATCTCACTATACCTAGAGCCAACGAAGAACGGTCAATGGACTGTCTTTCGCATGCAACGGCGAGTCTAACAATAGTTCCGCGCTCAAAACGCTCTTGCTGGCAACTAGCATCTCTGAAACCGTCGTCGATTTCCGTTGCTGGCTGCAAAGGCGTGTTTTCTAATCGTTAAAGATGCTAACAGTTGCGTATGCTGATCGCATCGCCGGATTACGTACACTTTGAAATCTTCCGCTAGCCTCGCGCGGCCGGAATGCACAAAAACTTCGACGATTTCGAGAAACCTGCGATGATCGTTTAATGCGACTTTGACCTTGCAAAGCAGCACACGATATAATTACCTCTGCGCTTGTTGACATTCTTTGCGCTTCGATTAAGCGATTGGGGGATATCGGAGCAGCTCACGCTGCATCTGCATACTCAAACGAACGTGATTCACGTGGTCAAACATAAACGCTCCGACCGCTCTAAATAAAACGCGGACTCATTCGCGAATTATTAGCTCACGCCTAATTATTTACTGTACCTAGTCACAGTGCATGCTAGGTGAATGATCTCGAAATTTGGCGCATAAAAAGCCGCCCAAAATAGTCGAGATCAAATGTAAAAGGTATTTAGAAATGCATTACTTTCAACTGTGTTTACATAATTCCTGTGTGTTCATTGACCTATGTTTATTAACACTATGCCGTCTGTTGGCACCACGTTGGTGCCATGCAAAAACTATCTGTTGTATACCACTTTGGTGCCATTTAAAAAAAATGAAATAACATTTGAACTATATTTCTTGGGTGTTAAAAGGCAGCAAACTAACTATAGCATTGTGTTTATTTAACTAAGAATTAAGTACGAAAATTCTTGGATGACATATGTTAATTTTAGGAATTTATATTACCGCCATCTTCGAAATTTTTTTTTAAATTTAAAATTTCCAAGCTATTATGCCGGCGTCAAACGAAAGAATCATATCTAAGATCTGCGGACGGCATAGTGTTAACATAAAAATTTAAAGTCTTCACTATACATTATCGTCTAATTAATAGATGATTCATAAAAAGAAATGATTCATAAAATAATCGCTGGTGTTTACGATCCTATGCCGGAGTCAACGGTCATCCGAGTGCTATTGTCAGCAGTTTGGTTGCCGCGGCAGGAAGTATTTCTGTATTTTATATATGGAGTTTGATCCCACAGTTATTACCGAGCATATGAGATTTTTCACGTTTAACAGTCGTAGATCAAATGTCACGATTTATACCATGGGCAATAAAATATTTTTCAATATATTTAGTGTTTAATCAGTCTCATTTATATGTAATGACAGCTTATTTGTAAGGGAAATCGGAGGCAGAAAGTCTGACGAGACAATTTCGCAGTCGATTAATTTATGGTAAGGTTAAATGTAGGGTTTGACGGGGCTTATTCTTTGACACGTATTTAGGAAGTCAAGATCTTACAAGGAAAGGACCCCAATTGAACGATTTTGATTTTAACTGGTTTTTGCGTCTAAAATATTAGGTGTAGATACTCGGTAATTTTAAAGATATAAATAATTAAAGTTACGAATCTTCAAAATGTACCATAAATATAAGTTAAATGTCTCGAACTTGCGTTGGCGAAATGAGTAGAGCATCCGGCTGGTAAATCCAAAGTCCCGGAATCGTTTCCTGTTCGGAAATATATGTATGTTTTTTGTAAATATAAAAATGCAAATACAATGTATTCGTTATCCGGAAACATTCTTTAATACGTTCCATGCCGTTTTTACTCGATTCTTCAAATTGGCCATTTGATATTTTATTTAAACTATATTTTACTATATTTTAACTATATTTACTATAAATATAATTTAAATATATTTTATTATATAATTAATTATAATATTATTGTATTATTTTATTATTATAATAATATTATTTATATTTAAATATATTTACTATATTTTTACTATATTTAACTATATTTTACTAAAATTTGATATATTGTATGCAATTATTAATTATCGTATACATAATAATGAAACAAACTTATTATGACCCATCCTTGTGGTGGAAATTAATTCTTCGGTTCTAAATTTGTCATGAACTATTTTTTTAGCGCATTAATTAAACATGTAAGAATACTACCATCTTAAGTTCAGTTAAACACTGAACTCTGTATTATAGTAATGCAACTATAATAAATTACTCTGCTAGCGCATAAATATTTACCAGGAAATTCGAAAGAGTAAATATGAACGCAGCTATGAAGCTAAAGATAATCCCTAAGCAAGTTGATACCAACGGGGCCCATTAGCTCAGTTGGTTAGAGCGTCGTGCTAATAACGCGAAGGTCGCGGGTTCGATCCCCTCATGGGCCAAGTTTTCTTTTGCGCGCAGCAAATTTTCATCTATATCTGAAAGCTGAACTATCCGCTAAAAATCATGCAGAAATTCTTATGTATCAAGCGGCCCATTAGCTCAGTTGGTTAGAGCGTCGTGCTAATAACGCGAAGGTCGTGGGTTCGATCCCCCCATGGGCCACTTTTTTTTTCCAGTTACAAGAGTCGTTTTGCCCTTCTTAAATATTTTTTCGATATGCTTACATTATCGCACAGCGAAATTCTTTCATTATTATACAAGAAAAACAATAAAAACCCTTGATCATAATTACGACCCCTAGCGGCGAACATCTTGACTCACAGAGATTTTCATTCTCGTGCGATAACAGAGCAATCGTCGGTAACTATTCGTGCGTAGGTAACTCAACGGACGGTGAGATCGGTCGAATTCCATTCGAACTCGATCGCGCGAGAATTTCGACTTGCTCGGTCTGGAAACGGTTTTCGATCGCGATGGATCGTGACCGTGGAAAACGCGAAACGAAAAACTCCGGCATTGCGGATCACGTTCAACTCCCGGGCAGCCACCTGTCGCGCGCATGCGCACCCACGTTAAAACACCTCGCTGCCCGTTCCCGAGTGTCAGTGTAAACCAAAATGGCGAGTGTGAGGACGGCTCGTGACAGCTCTCGCCGCTGCTCGCTGGTGTCCACGGTTTTCTGAACGGGTCGCGCGCCAACTATGTGACACACGTGACCGATCCGAGTGCGAACGGTGAATGGATACCATCGATTGATCGCTGGCAAAAGCTGGCGACCCGTGATACCCCGCCGCATCGGATCGGCACCCTTCTACTGTTCCCCGATGCACGGTTAACGGGGTGACATTGACGTTACTCGTCGATTTAAAGTGTCCGGTGGTTCGTTCGGTGAGCGGACAGACACCCGAACCGTTCGCCGTCTTCCGGTCCGCGTAAACAACGGTCTGTCTCCCATTTGGCCTGGTCCCTGGGTGTGTGTCGTCGATACGGAGAGAGATCGTTCGATAAGTGCTCGATTATTGTTGTTTCGCGGAAGTGTCACGAGGTGCGCGTATTGTTTCGAAAGTATCGGCGACCCGTGTGCGATCGTGTGCGCGCCACGAACGTGCACCGATTACGTTCCTAGCTGGCTGGGACTGTCGCTTGTTGCGATACCATTCGCGATTTTTCTTATTCTTCGTTCCGGGGCCGCAGTTCCATCGACCACGGTGAGTTCGCCGTTGTTTTATCGGGGTGACGATCACGCGTCCGAGGTGTTCCCCGACGCGAGCAACCCACTTTTTACTTCTCTTTCGAAGCTGCGACCGTCGGACCCTATACGACACCTATTGCTTTACCATTATACCAATGGATCTGTTCTCGTACGATTTTAGGATATCATTCTTGTGTCTGATCGTTTTCCACCGTTGACAACAACTTCGGTACTATTGTAGGTACTATTGTCAATGGAATCGTGTCACGTATTTTTAAACGGCGCGAATCGTTCAGGATTCAATTGATACGGTGGTCGATCTCCTCTGTCTGAACCCCTTTATGGCACACGGGTACACATGTACCATCGTTGGAACGTTGTTGTTTCGGCGCGAGCGAATTACTTATTGAAAGATATAGCGTAGATGTTGACATAATCGGAGCATTATTAGGATCTGTAAAGTCGTTCCTTGTCCTTGCTTCAAGCCTGCAAATCTGAGGAAATTGTGTCGAACTCTTTCGACTTGTTGTTTATATTCGGTCCGACGAGGGGATCAAACAATGACCGACGCGTATTCGAGACGAGGCCTCGCAAGTGAACAGCACGATGTTTGAATAGTCTCGAAGCTTTTGAAGTCTGTTGCCCAACGCTTGACAAATTCGAGGACTTCGCGAGTATGGTGGCGATAGGGCCAACGAATCAGAGATTTTTCCTTGCGGAAAAATGCCCGACTCCTGGAATTCTTTCGGGACTCGCTCGAGCGTCGGCGAACCCCATGGATGTCCAGGTGTGATTCTTCTCACCTGATGGTCACTTCGGCCACATGTTTTCCTAAGGCGTTGTTCCGGAGTTTCTTAGAATTTCACTGAATATTTATTTAGGTAAATATAGGTATATGTAGGTAAATATTTAGGTAAGTATATATAGGTAAATATTTAGGTAAATATTTAGGTAAATATATATAGGTAAATATTTAGGTAAATATATATAGGTAAATATTTAGGTAAATATATATATTATTTAGGTAAATCGGCTTTTTCTGCGTTGATCGTTTCGCTGTATCTATAAATGTTTTCGATGTTACGACGTAACAGCAGTAAAAATAATACCACGCATTGGCGCCGCAGGTGGTTTTATGAAAGAGTTTCTTTTTAAAGATGTAGTATTTGATCTTCCTCACCCTCGGCTATGAATGGCGAAAGGGTTTAATTATAATAATATAATAATAAGGGATTAATATTAGTTGACAGAATTGAATAAGAAAAGGGGATGTAAATATAGGAAGAGATAGGGGAAAAAAATTTGTTCGTGTCTGGAGGGGCTAATGTAATTAACTCCCTGTGGAGAGATGGGAGTTCAGGGTCATTGTGATGTTTATATTTAATCCTTCGCGGCAAGAATTCGATTAAGCGACGAGGGCATTATAAAAACGGCATGTTTTACGCCCGCTGTTCGAATATACTATTTGCCTGTTTACTATACCGGGACAGACGATAGACATGCGTGTACATATGTGTCTAGTAGACGTTCGGCGTGCGGATAGTTCCGTTTGAACTGTTAGGGACCCAGTTCGACCGCGAACGATGGGGGGTGGGGGTCACCTTACAAACGAAAAAAGTCGCCATAAAAATGTGCCCTGCGCGACCTTGTTCCCGAGTTGCATCCATTTTTGTACACCCGTAATGCGCAACCGATTACCTTTATTGGAAACCAGCTGAAACTGCCCGACGTTTTCCGGGCCCCTTACGACGAGCAAGTAACTGGAACTCAATTTAGTTTTTAGATAAACGCCGCTCGTTCTTTTGTTGCCGCGATTATATAATAATTCGATATTTTGAAATTAATTGGCACTTTATATCGGTCATTACACAATTCTTGCTTGCGTATAGTTTATTATGCAATGCCGACTTTGATAATTATAAACCGCAGTTATATTGCTCGTGAAATGCAGACCGAGAGGGTGCGATATCTCTCGCGGCGAATTCATAAATTGTATAAGCTATGTAGCTACACTGCTAAATAAGTAATAAATCATTTGTTAAAGGATTAATAAATTGCACGTTGGAAAATTAATAAATCGTGCGTTGAAAACTGAACAGATCGTGTGTTAAAAAATTGATCGAAAAGATTGCACTTCAAAAAATCCATAAATTGCACGTTGAACAATTAATAGAACTTAATGAAGGTTACAGGAACTTCGGGAATTGATTTCCTGTATTCTGTCGAAACATGTTTAGAATTTTCGGATCAGTTGATTTTTCTTATAAACACAAACAAAACGCGTCCCGCGTTTACGAATGAATAAATCAAACGGCTTCGTTCGGAAGTTCGGCAAACTTTTCTTCGCGAAGTTGTTAACCAACGGTTACCGCGAGACAATTGCGGCTACGTCTAAAGCACGAAGTTAAACGGGACATCTCCGAGAACTAATTTTTTTTTTTTATCCGACGCCAGGGTTGTAGTTCGATGAAAAGGTCAAGTAAAGTTCTAAATGTCATATGAAATGCGTCAGGTGCGAGAAAAACGAATTTACTCGTGCCGTAGGTGTTGATCGATAGACGAATAGAATACATCGTTCGCAGAGTTCGAGGAATTCTAACGTGATTTCGGTGCACCAGTTCTCTCTAAAATTAGAGGGGTTGAAACAAGGCGGTCCTGTGGCGCAACGGATAACGCGTCTGACTACGGATCAGAAGATTCCAGGTTCGAATCCTGGCAGGATCGGAATATTTTTTTTCCGCGCAAAATATTTTCCGTTCTCGATAGCACTCCTAAAGCGCATCTGCGTAAGAGAATTGTTCGTACAAAAGGATTTTCGATCAGCACCGAATTAATTTATGTTAGGAATTCGTTAAAGCAAACAGCGGCTGACCTCCGACAAGACCATTCCGCGCAAAATATTAGGGTGTCCCATAAGTTCTTTCCTTTTTTCTGATGCGAAATGATTACACGATATTTGTTGTTTAAAGTTAATTTATCGCGTTATATATGAACCGTTCTGTTCTATTACCTTCTTCCATCTTTCAGGAAGCCTCGTTATGCCGTCTTTCCAAGATTGTTGAGGCTTATTTGCAAAATATTGATCAAGGTTCGTTTTTATTTCGCTTACGAATTTAAATCATTTTTCACGGAGTAATAATCGGATGGAGCAATGTCTGGGGAGTACAGAGGATGAGGTAGAACGTCCCGATCAAACTGCAATAATTTTTGTCTTACGTCCAACGCAACATGCGGTTTTGCGTTGTCGCGATGAACATTTGACGGTGTGGAACTTCGAATCGATTCACATATCCCATCTTGATTAAACGCTTATATGTACCGTTGTCCTGAGTATGTTAGTGGCATCCGCTATCTCGCGCACACTATATCGCGGATTTTCAGCGAGCATATCTTTGATGAGGTCCGCATCCGTCGTTGTTGGACGACCGCTGCGGTCTTCATCTTTCAAATCATAATTGCCAGCTCTAAATCTCTTAAACCAATCGCGGACTGTCCTAATAGTCGTAGAACCATCGCCGTAAACGGTACAAATCTCGTTTGCAGTGTTCTTTGCCCTATCACTTTTTTTTAAAGCAATAAAGCATAACATGCCGCAAATATATGCTTCTTTTAGCTATCCGTATTGAACGGCGTAGAAAAATTTTTGTAAGGAACTTTGTCACCAACGAAACGTGCTCTAAAATAGCTCTGGGATGACTGAAACCGATACCCTAAACAGCCTAGGGGTAAGTCTGCGTGTTTATATAAACACAGCCAGTTAGATTCATTAATAGCGCGGCGCGGAAAGAACTTATGGGACACCCTAAT